CTGTGTTGTGCAATGCCCTAGGAGGACAGAAGAGGCTGTCAGATCCCCTGGAACTGGAGTTACACACAGTTGTTAGCTGCCATGTGGGTGCTGGGATTCGAACCCGGGTCTTCTGCAAGAACACCCAGTGTTCTTAACCGCTGAGACATCTCTCCAGCCCAGTAGTTCCCCTTTTAAAGGAGATGTACCTAAAGGCTTCTTTTAAAGAATTCCCTCCTTACCCTCCACTACCTAATAGAAACTTAGTTCTTCACATAAAATATCTTTTTTTTTTTTCCTATTGCAACCAAAATTCTGCACCAGTGGGTGGGTGCAATTGCTTTTTATAGAGGAGTGCTACACAGAAGGCTGTTCTTATAAATACAAGGTTTAGGTTTCCTGACAGTTCAAAATCAGCTTAGCAGATACAACCTCCATCTCTAGCTAAAAGGATTTTGCCAGTTTGAGAACTGACAAATCAAAAGACCAGATGCATATGACTGCTCAAACACAAGAAGGCATAGGCATGACCTGTGCTAGCCTCCATACATTCCTCTGCCAAATCCCTTATTCCTACTCCTTTGCTATTGGTTTTAACCTTCTTCAAGCTCCTCTCTCTCTCCTCTTATTTGGTGTGTGTAGGGGAAGCATATGCTAAGGGTCTTGTACATGATAGGCACAGGCTACCCCAGCTGCCCTCCCCCCACAGCCTGTCTTCACCACACACACACACACACACACACACACACACACACACACGTGCGCGCACACCCTCACAGTCTCTCTGGCCATGCTTGGTAGACCTTCTGGCATATCACTCTTGAAACAGGTTTTCTTTTTAAGATCACATATTTTTATTTTCTGTGTATAAGTGTTTTGCCTGCCTGTATGTATGTGGGCTATGTGTATCAAAAGAGGGCATCAGATGTCCTGGAACTGGAGTTACATACAGTTGTTAGATGCCATGTGGTTGCTGGGTTCCAAACCCAGGTCATTTGTCAGTGATCTTAACCACGGAGCCACCCCTCCAGTTTGCAAAAGGTCTTCTTAAGTAGAATATGTTGCTTATTATAACTTTTTTTAAGAGTTGAAATTCTTCTAAAACAGTTCAGATGTTTCCTACTTTTAAACCTGGGGTGGTAGCTTATGCCCATAATCCAAGCACTTGGGAGGTAGAGGCAGAAGGATCAGGACTTCAGAGTCCTTCTGCACCACATTGTGAGTTGGAGGCCAACTACATGAGGCTACTGAAATAAATTAATAAAACAAAAAACAGGTTGTTTGTTAGATCTCCTATTTCGTCCCGTCCCCCCAAACAAAAAGGAAGTTTCCCACTTCTGACCATATGAAATTGACTACAACTTGTTGTGGAACCGTTAGAGGACCATAACGAGAAATTTCCAGGCAGAAGACATTTTGTGACTAAGAAGACATCCAAATCACAGGCCCACTTTCTAACATGTGATGTGCTCAAAGGGGGGCTCAGCGGCCACCAGGATAATCCTTGAGAGAACTCCTGAGTGAGTTAAGGAACAGATCCATGAGTGCACTCTGATGCATAATGTAGCTCCCTCGACTGTCTGGGATGTTACATTGTATCTACTCTTTAAAGGAATTAGATAGTGTTAAATCGCCAACTTCTAGCTCACTCATTGCAAAGACTAAGTCTTTACCACTTCAGGACTGCCTCTTAAAAAAGGAGGGGGCACATGCACAGCCGGCCCAATGGCAAGGAAATTCTCTGACACCAGACATAGGTAAATAAAGAAACTGCATTGGCTGGCGGGGTGGGGGGGAGGTCCTCTACCAGTGAAGTTTATATCACGTAACAGAAAATAGGAGCTCTGCAGACCTGTCAGGGGGAGATGCAAGACTCGAGACCTCTTCCCACCATCTCTAAACACTCTGCAACTGCCTTACAGAAATTATACCTGAGTATTGACAAATCTGTACGCGCTCACCCTGTGCTTTCTACCCGTTTGTACGAAAATACAGAAAAGGGGGGAGGAAGGGAGAAATCCAACCAAATAAAGAAGCCCTAATCTCACACTTCTGAGTCCAAAGTATGGAGTAACCAAATGGAGCAGGGGAGTTCTCCTTCCTCCGGAGGGGGAAGGAGAACAAGGCGCTGCCTGCAATGGACGCCACACCCAACATGCACTGACAAGCTCCGAAAACTGCACCAGGCCCCGGCAGCTCCCTCGCGGCTCGGCCCTCCGCCGGACCGGCGCCCGCACCGTCCTCCGCCCGCCTCTCACAAAGGAGAATGGTTCAGTCCAGAGCATCACCCGCACCTGATCGCTCTCGACCCGACCGGCATGGTGGAGGGAGAAGGCCGAGCTCCTGGCCCTCGCTGGGGCTGCGCTCCCGGGACGCGTAGAGGAACAGCACCGGGGCGGCGAGAAGGGAAGCCTACCTGAGCACGTCCCGGGCTCCCTCCCCGGCGGCTTCAACTCACCGTTTCGGAGAACAAGGCTCCTTCCGGCGGAGCATGGCCAGCCCTCGCCTCAAGCGAGCTTGCTAGTAGTCCAAGCTCCGCGGGCCCGCCCACCTCCACCAGCCACCAATGGAGGGCCCGGAGCCGGGCCTGAGCGGCGGGCGGCGGGCGCATCATCCAGGAAGTCTCTGCAGAGTGGGCGGGCCTGAGAGCCGGGAGGGCACGTAGGCAACCGCAGATGTGCCTGATGGAAAAGAAAACCTGCGGGGGCTCAGCTGCACACCGGCCTCTCCGACCCCAGCCGCTGGGGGCACTCTACAGCACAGCCACACTCGCCACCTGTTTCTGGGACGCCATCTTGGTCGGACAGCTGCTGCAGCGGGACACGGGATCTGAGGCCCTTTTTGGAGTTCTGGCCTTCTGTTTTGGTCCAGCCCCAAACACATTACCCCTTCATAGCCAGAATACCTCTCTGCCAGAACGAACTCTGGGATAATGCTGAGCAGTGGTGGGAGGCAAGCACCACTACCCTTTCACTTAACTGTAGAGTAATGGCTTTTATCAAAGTAGCAAAAATCAGTTTTTCGAACGACACGTTCATATGGCCAGCACCTAGAGCAATCCATCATATACGACACCAGCACAGGTTATGTAGCCATTCTGCGCTCTTCAATGTGCTCTGATTTTAGCTGCACAAAATACTGATTCAGTTAAGAGGAGTGATGGAATAATTCAATTTTTTAAAAAAGGCCTTAAACTAGGTGTGGTGGTGCATGGCTTTAATCCCAGCACGTGGAAGGCAGAGGCAGGCGGACCTCTGTGGGATTGAGGCCAGCCAGGTCTACATAGAGAGGTTCAAGTCAGCTGGGTCTACAGGGAGACCCTATCTCAAAAAGACCAAAATAAATAAATAAAAATTTAAAAATTGGGGCTGGAGACATGGCTCAGCGGTTGGGCACGCTGGCTGCTCTTGCAGAGGACCCGGGCTCGATTCCCAACACCCACATGGCAGCTACGAACCGTCCTTAACTCCAGTTCCAGGGGAATCCGAAGCCCTCTTCTGACCTCCGCAGCATTGCACGACACGGGTGCACGGGTGCAGGCAATACACTCATACATAAAATAATTTTTTATGTCTCCCTGTAGCCCCAGCTGACCTGGAACTCACTATGTAAACCAGAATGGCCTTGAAAGCACAGAGATACCCGCCCTCCCTGCCTCTGCCTCTTGAGTGCTGGGATTAAAGGCATGCACCACCATACCCGGCCCAATTAAATTTTGTTTTTCAAAACTCATGGAGTCTTTCAGATTGTGAAAGGATTTTTCCCAAGCAGTAACAGCACTGCATGGTCATTCATGGCAGGAGCTCAGACATAATTTAAGAAATTATGTATCAATATTTTATCAGAAATAAGACTTGATCAATAATTTTTCCTTTATATTTAACAAAATCTGTTGGTCAAATTATCTCCTAGCTACAGCTACCATTATATCAAATTTGAGGTATTAAGATTTATCAGAACAATGTGGTCATCTGTAAATGCAGACAGATACAATCTTAATTATTAAGGGTGTCTATGAGAGCCCATTACTTCTAGTTGTTTCTGGTACACAATAAAGAGCTACCAACAGAGTTGCCACCACAGCCATCAGAGAAGGGCTTGAAATGCCTGATCCAGTAATTCCTGCTAATTGCACTGATCTCTTGCTATAAACTGTATGATTCCAGTGTTCTTGAATTCAAAAACCAGTTGACACCCAGACTGTCTCATAAGTACCATTAGCCATATGGAGGCGGGAGATCTGTTTCTCTATTTCTTCATGACCAGTTGACTCAGAACACAGGTCCTGAATTTATATATACATTTGTTTTCCTTTAAAACTGGCAAAATATCCAGTACAGAAAGTTATAAAACATAATAGAATTGGGTGTGGGAATTAGACATTTTAACAAAGTGATCCAAAAATATCAAAAAGTTTCCTTTCATGACTCCAAAAACAGCAGCTGTAGGCACAGTGCTCTTTAACCAGTGCGCTAACGCTTCTGAATTGCTAAACAAAATTTTAGTAAAACAAATAAAAACCCTTGGTACAGAAACTATAACATTTGCTGGGTGTGCTGGCACACTCAATACTCAGGAAACTAAGGCAGAAGGATCAGAAGTTCTAGGCTAGCCTGGGCTACATAGTGAAGGAAGGAAGGAAGGAGGGAAGGAAGGAAGGAAGGAAGGAAGGAAGGAAGGAAGGAAGGAAGAGGGAAGGGAAGGAAGAGGGAAGGCAGGCAGGCCTAAAGTATATACTTCATTTAATCGTACTTGGTGAGGGAACGGGCTAAATTTAAATTCAACAACCTCTAATCCTTTTTGGAATGAGGTAAGATTAAACACACACACACACACACACACACAAAATCAAAGCAACTGCCCAAATGTCTTCTAATCTCCTGTGGTGCAGTGTTAACTATTACCACTACTACTAAAGGCAGAATTCAGTATAAAGCAAATCCCAAGGAGGCAACTTTGATATAATACCCTAGGAGAGTATCTACTTACATTTAGGGTATAATCAGAAATGACACATGGAATAGAAGCAGCTTGGATACATGCATATATTTAATAATGAAACAATCATTAACAATAAAAATTAGAAAATTCAGTGAGAACTCAGTGCTGTGGAAAAAAATAAATTAGACAAGTGAAGAAGATAGCAACTGACCCAGAAGGCGGAATGATAAGTGAACAAAGGCAAACTGGGCCACAATAGCATCATATGCTCTAAGAGGGCTGGAGAAATACCTGCTCCCTGTTCGGAACAAGCATTCTTACTGTATGCTGCAGAGAATGGAGGCAGTAAGTTCAAGGCAGGAGAGAAGAGCAACAGAAAACATATAAGTAAAGGGGAAAGACTGAGATGATTATAAAGAGAGGACTCTAAGGCTTTCATTTCTTCTACAGTCTAAAGTAAGCCTGAAGTTTTAGCATGTCACTCAAATGCACAATCGCAGAATGAGTTGTACTAGGCACAGTAAAAGACTGGCAGATGAACTGGCTTATAATAAGGGATGACAAGAATCCTGCTCTCACAGAGCTTACATCCTACATGAGACAGATCCCACACGTAAAATCACCACAAACACCTTTACATAGTGAAACACATATAAATAAATATACATATGAATAACCAAGATAGGAATGCTAGGGGCACTATGTTAATAACTGCTTAGAACTCCCTGGTCAGTCACTGAAGATTTTAAGAAGGAAATAATGTTGAACTTTTACTATAATTAGTAGAGTGCAGAGCCCGTGCCAATGTACAGAAGTAGAAATGTCATCCTCAACAAGCCAATTAGCTTGATTAAAGGACAAAGTCAAACAGATGTGGTTAAGAAGGGAGTGTGTCCAGCTACTTGGAAGGCTGTAGGATTGTAGGATAACAAGTTCAAGACCCACTTGGACTACATAGCAAGTTCAAGGCTAGTCTGGGCAACTTGTCTCAAAATGAAAAGTTAAAGAAAAGGCTCTTGAGGGTATAGCTCAGTGGTAGAACACTTACATGAACCTAGGTTCAATCACCCAATACTGAGAGAGAGAGAGAGAGAGAGAGAGAGAGAGAGAGAAACAGTTGAGATAAAGTCGAGGTCAATTTGGTGGAAAATAATGTAATGTTAGAATTGGTCCCCTAAACAAAATTAAAAATTAATGTTTTCTTCTTAGGTAGGAATATATGACCACAGGTCCAGGACCAACTCCATTTCTCTCAAGAGTTTTGTAGTTAAGAATTAGGAACCAGCAACAAGGGAGGCCAGACAGCCTGACCTAATCAGCAAGTCCCAGGTCCCAGAAAGAGACTATCTTAGAAAACAAAGTGGTGGGCTCCCGAGGAACAATACCTAAATTTAAGTTTAATACGTGAACACAAACACACGCATGGACACACGCACACGTGAAATAAAATGAAACTAGCAATGAGAAAGTACAAAGACACAGAGCCTCCTTGAGTAAGGGGAGGGAACTGCCTTCTCCAAGAACTCTGGTAGTGACAGACTTTCCAAGATAAGGAAATAAAAAACTTAAAGATTTGACTAGGTTCACATCTATCATCCAAAGGCCAGATTCTGGTAATCTGAAGTGTTCAATCACAATGTCCTTCACCCTGGCTGCTACACAACTAGGTGAGGAACAGATACATATTCCTTTAAAAGTTTTTCTCCCTTTGCTTTTTTGAGACGGGATCTTACTATGTAACCATGGATGGCCTGGTAATCCTTATGTAACCCAAGGCTGGCTTTAAACTCATGGCAATATGGCAATCCTCCTGCAGAAACCTCCTGAGTGCTAGAATTATGAGTATGTGCCACCATGCCTGGCAAACAGATGTAGGTACTCAGGAAGTTGTTTATTTTTTAATTACTGTGACAATCAACTTTGACCCTAACATTGTAGAAATTAAAGTGAGGATGAAAATAGCCCTACTCTATACGGAATGCTCATGTCCCTAGAGGAGGCCAGTAAGGGCCCAATTCTCTCCTGGTCTCTTAAGTGGAAGGGTGAAACATCACACACTGAAAAGAGGCTGCTCTCAGCCAAAGTGAGTAAGACCTCTTTCTTTAAGCTGACTGATCTGAAGCTGTTCCAGGAGAGGGGAAAACAGAGTTCAGGCCAGACGTTCAGCAGCAGCCAGAGTCAGACCCTATGTCACAAGAATTCCGCTGAGAGGTGTTGGGTCCCACTGACGTTGGAATTGACTGCTGAGGCCCAATCTTGATGCCATTTGCCTGAAAAAGAAAAAAGGCAATAATTCCCACCTCAGTGCTAAAGTGAGTGAACAGGAGAAAGAAGAGGGATAAAAGAGAAACTTTAATTACGTTCTAAAAAAGATACGACTTTGGCAAGTAAACATGTTCTCTAGCCAGACCACTGTCAAATAATAAGATATGACAGGTGAGGATGAGATAACTAGTCATGATACGAGGAGCAGAGCCGGCTAGGAGGTTTGTGCGAATTGTTGTAGTGCACTGTTATATTTAAATTTCATAGCTATACACAGAGTTAGGATGCGATTAGGCAAGAACAGGAGAAGTGAGGGGCTAGGCAGATGCCTCAGCAGGCATCTGGGCAAGCATGAGGACAGTTGTCTGGATCCCTAGAGCCTATAGAAAAACTAGATGGGTATGGCAGTCTGCCTGTACTCTTGGGCGGCAGAGATAGGGAATCCCTGGAGCAAGTCTACTGGTCAGACTAGACAAATGGTAAGCTCCGTGTTCACTGAGAGAGCCTGCCTCAATACATGAGGTGGACAGTGGGGAAGGACAATACCTGCCATCGACCTCAGGCTTCCACAAGCATGCCCACACAAGCATGTGTGCCCACACACTTGTGCCCCAACACATGCATAAATATGCACCATATAAATATATATACCAAAAAAATTTTAAAAGAGAAACAAAATATTAGCATAGAATTCTTTTTTTGTTTTGTCCCAGAGTTTGCCCTCTTAAGCAATTAAGAATTATATATCTCTCATATAAGCATTCTAGGTCTCAGACTTGAAGACAAACAGAAAATGACAGGTTTTTAGATGCTTACATTTAAAAGATAAAAGAAAACCAAAGAAAAAGCTTGAAATGTAATTAGTGTGATATCAGGCAGTTTCTACTCCTGCTCAGAACAGAACTAAGCCGTCAGTCCCAACCCCAACCCTTTCTCACCTCATTGTGAACATCAAATAAACCCTGCTGGATCTTCCTATATATTTCTTTGGCTGTGTTAATGAAGGCCTGAGGAGACAAAAATCATTTATCAGTCTTAAATTTAAGAAGATAAATGAGAGAAATACAAGTCTTATTTGGATTTCTAAGGTGAATTAAGAAGCTGGGTGTGGTGGTTTACAGTTGTAATCCCAAGACTTGGGAGGAAAAGATAAGATCATAGCAAGGTTGAAGCTAGTCTGGTCTACACAGTGAGCTCCAGGCCAGCCAACCTCAAAACCTCAAAAGAACCAACAACTAGCTAGCCAACTAATTAGCTGAATGAATGACTGAATGAATAAAACCTAAGACAATTCAGTAGAGGCAGTAACATAGCAATTCCCACAAATGTCCCTCTAAAATCCATTGAACAGAGCTGGATATGGTGGTTCACACCTGTAACCCCAGAACTCCAGAGGCTGAAGCAGGAGAATGGCAAATTTGGTGCCAGTTTGAGCTATACAGCAAGTTCCAAGCTGATTTGGGCTACATAGCAAGACCTTGTCTGAATAAACAAAACTACAACAATAAAATTTTATATATATAAAAACTATATTGAATATAGTTTTCAAAGGAAAAAAAGATGATTATTAGCATTCTGGTACTGATCCAAGATATCAGGAATCCTAGGATTACACACTCCAAATAAGGCAGATTCTCTTCTCCATTAGTTAGTGGAGATACAGTCAATGCCAGGCCTAGTAATGAAGGCAGTTCCTGTTAGGTTCCCAACTAAGCCACAAGGCATTCTTTCTCTGCCCACGTCCCTTGGAGAAAAGGATTCTGAATGACAGAAGAACAATAATGCAATCTCTGCAGCTCCTCCACTTTTTCCCAAACAGTACCTCTTCAACGTTGCAGGCTGTTTTGGCTGAAGTTTCCATGAATATAAGTCCATGCTCCCGAGCAAAGGCCTCTCCTTCCTCTCTCTTCACATCCCTGCGGGACTCTAGATCACTGCAATAGATTAATTAGGGAGGAAATTCTTAAAAGATTTAAGTGAATTATAACACAGTGGAAAAAAGAAAAAAAGCAAATTTCTCAGTGTTTTCAAATTCCTGGTATGTGGCTCCTTGATGTCAGGGACAATAAATCAGTATTCTCAGACATTCTCAAAAATTTCAAAATTATGATTATCTTAAAGACACTTCTAATAATCTTCACATTCTATTATTTAAATAGTTAAAATTTTAATTTGATTTAAGGGCTGGAGAGATGGCTCAGTGGTTAAGAGCACTGACTACTCTTGCAGAGGACCCAGGTTTGATTCCCAGCACCCACATAGCAGCTATGAATCATCCTTAACTCCAGTTCCGGGGGCATCCAAAGCTCTCTTCTGACCTCCGTGGCATTGCACAACACAGGTGCTCACATACATGCAGGCAATACACTCATATAACATAAAATAAAAATAATAAAATATTTTTTAAAAATTTAATTCGATTTTATTTATTTTTATTTATATAGATGTATGTGTGCCTGTTTGTCTGTATGTACATGTGCATGCCTGGTATCTATAGGTGCCTGAAGAGGCATCAAATCCCCGGAACTGGAGTTCCAGACAGTTGGAGTCCCCATGTGAGTGTTGGAAACTGAATCTGGTCCTTTGTAAGAGCAGCAAGTGCTCTTAACTGCTGAGTCATCTCTCCTGCCACAGAATAGCCAAAATTCTTATTTAAAAACTAAAACACAGCCATACTTACAAAGAACTGCAGCATATAGGAATAGTCAAACAACAAAAAACATACTTTGAAATTCAGCTCTCTCAGTAAGGTAACAGTCACTCAAGGAATAACATGTAGTCATTGGCCATTTAAGGACTTACTTTGCATTGAAAATGTGGGATACCTTGGAAAAACAAGTTAGGACTAAATGTATCATTGTTGCCAAATAAATGTATTGTTAAAAAAACAAATAGATTTAAGTGAAAAGGGAAACCCTAGTTCTAAAAGAATTCCACAGCAGGTTCAATTCCAGGTAACACTTCAGAAATGTATACCCTACATGACACTCTTTTGCACAGGCTTATTGACTGGTGTAGTTTCTTAGAAAACATTCTTCAGCTTCACAACAGCTTCTGCGTAGCTGAAGATAACAGCAAAAAAAGGCTTATACATGGAGCTGGAGAGATGGTGCAGCGGTTAAGAACACTTGCTCTTGCAGAAGACCTGGGTTTGAACCCCAGCACCCACATGGCAGCTAACAACTGTCCATAACTCCAGTCCCAGGGGATCCGACAGCCTCTTCTGACCTCTGAGGGTATTGCATGCACGACACGGGTGCACTTACCTACATGCAGGCAATACACATATACACATAAAATAAAAATAATAAATAAAAAAAAAATTAAACAAGAAAAGGCTTATACAGAGTTGGGCAAATCCCAAGGTCACTCAAAGCTCATCCCTAGGCCGTTTTCAAATGAGATCTAGGAAAGCAAGGCAGAGATGATAAAAGGGAAGCACTATTTACTAGAAAGTAGAAGTCTTAGGCTTTCCCATCCTGTAGTGATGGCTCTTTGTCTAGAATCAATTGACAAGAGAGAAAGTCAGGAATAAGAGAGCACAGGAGAGTCATTAACTCGTCTCATTTCTAGTGTGTATAAAAGTGGCTCAACACTTTGGAACTGCACGCACATGGCGCATTTACACACATGCAGGCAAAACACTCAAAACAAAATAAAAATTGTTTTAAAAAGTGACCCTGCCTCTTCACCCCTTGCAACTTTTGTCTATCCTGGCTTCCACAATACATTAAATGGTATAAAAAACCCAAGATATTAAAATATCTGTAATTTTAGGACTTGGAAGGCTGATTGTGAGTTCAAGGCCAGCCTGAGATACAGAGTAAGATTCTGTCTAAAAAAATGAAAACTAAAACCAAGCAAACAAAAAGCCAAAGTGTTGGGATGGGAATGTAGCTCAGTTAGTAGAGTGTTTGCCAAGCGTACACAAAGCCCTGGGTTCCACACCCAGCAGTGTATAAGCCAGGCATGGTGAAATACATCTACAATCCTAGCACTTGGGGTGTAGCAACAGGAGTTCAAGAGGTCATCCTTAGCTACATAGCAAGCTCAAGGTCAGGCTGAGCTACAGGAGACTCTGTCCTCAAATGAATAAACAACCAAGGTATTGATACTTCTTCCTCCCTTTTTCAAATACACAATTCATCCCAAAGTGAAGTACCAAGAAAATGTATCTGAACATCCTCTGTTCCCCTTCCTCTCTCTAGTCTCTACTGTAGTCCAAGCTACCATTCCCCTGACCTGGAATTCTTACAGTTTGGATCCTATTTTAACCTTTGCTTCCTTCAAGGGAGATCTTTTAAAATCTGATCAACCTATAAGTGCTTAGAACTCTGAAATGCACAGCTGAGAAATGTACCTTCACGGTAGAGCACTTACTAGGAAGTATGGAATCTCTAGGTAATGAAGGATTCCTAGGTAAGAAAGGGGGTAAGGACTGGGGTCTGATCCATAACCCTACAACAAAAAAAATTCTCTTAAGAGCTTGTACTATGTTTAAACAAAACAACAAACAAACAAAAAACCTCAAACTCCTAGCTTGGCATTGTGGTGCCCACATGTAGTCAGTACTCAGAAGTAGGAGGATCAGGAACTTGAGGCCAACCTTGGCTATGGAAGGCCATGCCTCAAAAAACAAAGTCCCACATAAAACAAAACAACAACAACAAAACCCAAATCCAAACTCCTCACTTGAGTCTACAAGGTGCTATTTGGTCTGGTCTCTGCCTATTCCTCCAACCCTATTTTGCATCTTTCCTCCAACCATACTGGGTTTCTTTCAACAGCACAAACTTGCCAGCCCTCTTCCCAGTTCAACACCTCCACACAGTTTGCTACCCCTATATGATACCATGTTCTTAAACTTCCTAGCAAGCTCTTCTCTATCATCTGCATCCCAGCTCAACATTACTCCTAATCAAAAAATAAGTACTGTTGGCCAGGCGTGGTGGCACATGCCTTTAGTCCCAGCATTCGGGAGGCAGAGGCAGGCAGATCTCTGTGAGTTCCAGGCCAACCTGGTCTACAATGGGAGTTCAGGCTAGCTGGGGCTACAGGGAGACCCTGTCTCAAAAAGACCAAAAACAAAACAAAACAAAAAGCACTGTTGCTTCCTTGTCTAGCAAGCCCCGTCTTTTACTTCACTGCTGTTTCTGTCACAGTTTCTAACTATATACATCACTTTTTAAATGATAAATGATACAGTTTATAGATTCCCATTGGACTATAAGCTCTGTGGTATTTTGTCATTTTGCAAACTCAGGATCTGGCACAGTGTCTAACACATAGACATCAGTTAAGCCACTACATGAACACAAGTCACATGTGGCTATACACCAGTACAAAAGTAACAATTTACCACAAAATAGATTTTAAGGGAAATACAGCAACACTCAGCACGGGAATAATACAGGAATTGCAAGGTGAAGGTAATTCAGTGCCTGCATCGGACCACTACAGACTGTTCCACATCTTCATATCTTTGCCATCCTGAGATATGGCAACTGCAGTGACGAAAAGCACTGAATAGCCCGGTGTGGTGGCGCAGGCCTTTAATCACAGCACTTGGGAGGCAGAGGCAGGCAGATCCCTGTAAGATCAAGGCCAGCCTGGTCTACATAGTGAGTTCTAGGCTAGCTGGGGCTACAGGAAGACCCATTTGAAAAAAAAATAAAAATAAAAAAATAAAACAACCCCCCCCCAAAACAAAACATAAAACAAGAAAAGTGCTGAAAGATTGGGCCTGTAAACATCTTGTCATAAAGCATGTAAGCAGATAGAGCCACAGGAAACGGTTGCTTAGAGGAAAGGCATTTCTTCAGAGGTGTATGCCACATTCCTATAAATAACCTCTCACCCAAGCTCCTGAAACAACTCTAATGAAACTCACGGTGTCATTAAAAAAAAAAAAGCATGGAGTAGCAAAAATGAGCGCTCAGAGAGGTAGAATCCAATGGTGACTGCAAGATTTGAAATGGTTTACTATGCCTAAACAACACACACAGGTGATTGGTTATTGTTGCTATCTAAGAATGAAATTTAAATTTTCGTGTGTTGTAGCTTTGGCTGCCCTGGAGCTTGCTCACAGAGATCTGACTGCCTGTGCCTCCCAAATGCTGGTGTGTGTCACCAAGCCTGGCATGAAATTTAATTTTTAAAAAAGAGAAATACAAATATTTTTCTTTTAATTTATGCTTTCAATTTTCAAATATATCCCAAGTTACTATAAAAATACATTGTTTAGGAGCCAGAGATGTAGTTCAGTTGGTAAAATGCTTGCCTAACATGACACCACAAAAAAAACCAGCGTGATGGTACCTGCCTATAACCCTAGTGCTTGGAAGGTTAACACCAGAAAAAATTCAAGGTCGTTCTCAGCCGCCTAGAGAGTTGAAGGTCAGTCTGGGACCCCTGAGACTATCTCCAAAACATGTTCTTTATTTATTCTCAATTATTATTAACTTTCTTTTTAAAAAATATTCTATTATTTTTAGTTAATGTTTATGAGTGTATTACCTACATGTATATAAGTGCACCCATGTTGTGCAATGCCTCAGAGGTCAGAAGAGGGCACCAGATTCCCTCGAACTGGAGTTACAGACAGCTGTGAGCCACCGTAGGATGCTGAGAACTGAACCTGGGTCTCTGCAAGAGCAGCCAGTGCTCTTAACTGCTGAGTCATCTCCAGCCACCCCAACATTTTCTTTCTTTACCATATGTGTATGTGCATGTGACATGGTGTACATGTAGATGTCAGAGGACAACCTATGGGAGTTGGCTTCTTGTTTCACCAGGTGAAATCAGATCTGGGGATCAAGCTTAGGTTGTCAAGCTTGGTGGCAGATGCCTTGACCAGCTGGGCATCTCACTGGGCCAAAAATATGTTTATTTAGATCTATTTAGTTTGGCCTTTTTAAGGCTTATTTTGTTTTTCAATTTTATTTTTTAAAATTTGGGTGTGTGTGTGTGTCTGCGTGTGTGTATGCCATATGTGTGCAGGTGCCTGTGGAGGCCAAGAGAGGGTGTAGGATCACTGGAGCTCAAGTTATAGGCAGTTGTGAGTCACTGGACAGGGCTGCTGGGAATTGAACTCAGGTTCTTTTGGAGAACAGAACAGCAAGCACTCTTAACTACTGAACCATGTCTCCACTCCATTTAGTTTAGATTTAATTTTTTATGTTTTTGTGTTATCAAAACAGGGTCTCATGTATCTTGGGCTGGCCTCCAACTCTCCATGTAGTCAAAAATAGCCTTGAACTCCAGATTCTCCCATCTCTCCGCCTTCCAATGCTGGATTTCAGGTTTGCATCATCATGCCTCGCTTATTGACTTGATTTTTAGTGGGTTTTTTTGTTTTGTTTTATTTATTTATTTATTTTTTTGAGACAGGTTCTCACTACGTAGCTCTGGCTGGCCTGTTACTTGCTATGCAGACCAGACTGGCCTCTAACTACAGAGATCCACTTGCCTCTGTCTCCTGAATACTGAGATTAAAGGTGTGCGCCACCATGCCCAGCTTAATTTTTAACTTTTTTTTACTATGTTTATTTATTATTTTTTAAAGGGAATTTTTAAAAAATTATTTATTATTTTTGTTTTATGTGTATGTGTGTATTGCCTGTGTGTAGATAAGTGCACCTGTGTCGTGCAATGCCTTCAAAGGACAGAAGAGGCTGTTGAATCCCCTGGAACTGGAGTTACAGACAGCTGCTAGCTGCCATGTGGGTGCTGGGATTTGAACCCAGGTCCTCTGCAAGAACAGTCAGTGTTCTTAACTGCTGAGCCATCTCTCCAGCCTCCTATGTTTATTTATTTAATGTGTGTGTGTCTGTGCCCAAATACCATGGCATGCATATGGAGTTAGAGGAGGACCCATAGGACTTGGTACTCCCCTTTCACCATCTGTGTCCTGGGGACTGAACTCATACTGTCAGGCTTGGCAGTAGTCGCCTCCACCCACTGAGCCATCCTGCTGGCCCTGATCTGACTTCTAAGAAAGGGTTTTACTATGCAGCTTTGCTTAGCCTGGAACTTACTACACAACTCAGGCTGGTCTCAAACTTGTTATTCTCCTGTCTCAGCCTCCCAGTGCTGCAATCACAGGTATATACACTCACACCTGGCTTATATCTAAACAAACTTTTTAAAAACTGAGAATATACAGTGTTGATAAAGATGTAAGGACACTGGAACCCTTCTGCATTGTTGGCAGGAATGCAAAATGGTTCTGCTAGGATGAAAGACGAGATGGTGAGTTCTCAAAAAAAAATGCAACATCGAACTATCGTGTGATCCAGCAGTCTTACTACTGGTTGTGTAACCAAAACAACTTGAACAGATGCATCTTTGCTCCCACAGTCTTAACAGTATTCATCACAACAGCCAAAAAGTGGCAGTAACCCAAGTGTCCATGGAGAGAGAAAAACAAAATGTATGGTTATATGCACACAAATGATTAGTATTAATCCTTAAAAAGAGAGGAAGTTCTGATACATGCTATAATATGGGTAGAGCTTGAAGACATTACGCTAAATAAAATAAGCCACTCATAAAAGCACGCATATGTAACTGTACTTAGATGAGGTACCTAGAGTATTCAGATTCCTAAGGAAAAAACAAAGAAGCTAGGTGTGCTGGCACAGTTCTGTAATCCCAGCACTCCAACCTAGGCTATGCAGTGAGGTCAAGGCCAGCCTGGGCTACGTAAGACCCTGTTTCACCAAAGAAATGAAAGAAGGAAAGGAAGAAAAGAGAAGGAAGAGAGAAAGAAAGAAAAGAAAGGAGAGAGGGGAGTAAATTAATGAATGATGGTTGCCAGATGCTAAGGAAGGGGACCGAGGGCAAGAGGTACCAATTAGTAATCAATGGTTTCAGAATTTAAGAAGAAAAGGCTCTGAAGATGGATAATGGCCATGGCTGAATGTTAACAGAGGTAGTGTCACAGAATGTACACTTAGAAAAAGCTAAAATGGCAAATCTCATGTATACTTTACAGTAATTTATCTTTACTGAGACAGTAAGATGATATATAGGGGCTGGAGAGATGGCTCAGTGGTTAGGAGCACTGGCTTCTCTTGCAGAGGACCAGGTTCTGTTTCCAGCACCCACATGGCAGCTAACAACCACCTGTAATTCCAATTTCAGGGGACCCCATGCCCTCTTCTTACCTCCGCAGGCATTGCACACATGTGGTGCACTTACACATATGCAAGCAAAACCCTCACACATGTAAAATAAAAAAATTTTTTATTGGTCTTTTTGAGACAGGGTCTCCCTGTAGCCCCAGCTGTCCTGGAGCTCACTATGTAGACCAGGCTGGCCTTGATCTCACAGAGATCTGCCTGCCCCTGCCTCCCGAGTGCTGGGATTAAAGGCGTGCACCACCATGTCCACAAAATAAAAATTTTAAAGAGAAAAAGAGCCACATATGGTGGCACATGTTTTTCATCCCAGCAGAGGCAGGCAGATCTCTGTGAGATCGAGGGCAGCCTGGTCTATTGGAAAGTTCCAGGCCAGCTGGGGCTCAGGGAGACCATCTCAGAAAAAAAAAAAAAAAAAAAAAAAAAAAAAAAAAAAAAAAAAAAAAAAA